AGGAACCTAAGACAAGGTTTAAGGATGACCTAGAACCAAAGACAAGGTTTAAGGATGACCTAGAACCTAAGACAAGGTTTAAGGATGACCTAGAACCTAAGGACAAGGTTTAAGGATGACCTAGAACCTAAGGACAAGGTTTAAGGATGACCAGGAACCAAAAATGAAGGATATGATTTAGGCTGACCAAAAATCGAAAATGGGGGGTATGGTTTAGGCTGACCAAAAACCGAAATGGGGATATGGTTTAGGCTGACCAAAAACCGAAATGGGGGTATGGTTTAGGCTGATCAAAAATCGAAAATGGGGATTATGGTTTAGGCTGACCAAAAACCGAAAATGAGGGGTATGGTTTAGGCTGACCAAAAACCGAAAATGGGGGTATGGTTTAGGATGACCAAAAACCGAAATGGGAATATGGTTTAGGCTGACCAAAAACCGAAATGGGGATTATGGTTTAGGATGACCAAAAACCGAAATGGGGGTATGGTTTAGGCTGACCAAAAAGCGAAAATGGGGGTTATGGTTTAGGCTGACCAAAAACCGAAATGGGGGTATGGTTTAGGATGACCAAAAACCGAAAATGGGGGTTATGGTTTAGGCTGACCAAAAACCGAAAATGGGGGGGTATGGTTTAGGCTGACCAAAAACCGAAATGGGAGTTATGGTTTAGGCTGACCAAAAACCGAAATGGGAGTTATGGTTTAGGCTGACCAAAAACCGATCCACTGGGGAAAGATATTTTGAAAAAAGTTCCGGGATTGTTTAACAACAAATCAAACGGTATTATTCACATTTTGGTAAAAGGCACTGATTATCAAAATCCTTAAGAGGAAATTTTAACAAGATGATCTTTGAATAACCATTTAAAGAGGTTAGATAAAAAATGCCAAATTAGAAATAACCTAATAAAAAAGGTCTTTCGCACTGGCTCTCATAAAGGCTTTGATTCCCATTCATTGATGTGGGAAAGTTATTCAATTCTCACTGGTGATGCCTCACGAACCTATGTCAAGGGTTTTCGGAAACGTTCACATTGAATACAAATTGATTGATCAGAAAGGTCTTTCAAAAGGACCGTAATATAGGCTTGGTCATGGGCTTACACAAAGGGTATTTGCTTTGAGGCCAAAAAAAGAAATATACCATCAATATCTTCAGCGGGTTTACAAGTCAAGAACCTTGAAGATAAGATAAGATAGGATTACTTCCACTCCTTCTAGCGGTAGCTTCTTTGTGAAATCTTTACGTCAACTCAAACCATCCCAATCGGAAGAGACTTCGGAGAGGGTTGTAATGTCGGTTTGGGTTAGGCTCAAAAGGCTTGAAATTTTGTAAAAGAGGTTTGAAAGAGAAATGATGATTATCTTGGCATCATTACCAAATCATCCAAATTTGACATCATTTGACTCTTGAAAACCAAATTGTCTCGAGAGTTCATTTTTCTTGCAACACAAGAGCTTTGCTCTTTCTAAGCATCTTTTGCAATGGGAATTTCATTTTCATCATAAGCATATTGCTTTTTGCTTTTGCTTTTTGCTTTTGATACATTTTCTTTTTCATGGGCATCGGCCTTACTTTTACCAGGCACACTGCTTTTTCATGCCCCCTAATATTATCTTTTGAGCTCTTTGGACTCTCGAGACACTTTATACATATTCACTAATTTTTCTAAATTTCCTTGGTAAATCATATGCATTGCCCCAATGTAGGGAGATAATCAACATTTTGGACTTTGAAATGAACATGCTTAAGGCTCAATTTGGCTAAGCAAGGGATAATTGTGTTTGGGTAGAAGAAAAGAATGCTCTTCTTCACTTTGGGACGCTTCGAGCTTCCATAAAGATCCACCTGAAATTACCACAAGAAGGTTGATGCAAGTGAAAGCAATAAAATCTTTCTTAATCTTTTTGCTCCAAAAATGATCAACCACAACCTTCTAACTTACCCCAATGTGGGGTGGTTCTTGACAGGGGTATTTTGAAAATTCTCCCTATTTGGCTCAAAGTGGCTAGCAAAGGATAAAATGAGTGTTTAGGATAGAGAAGTGAAATGCCTTTTATCATTTCAATCCATGTATTCAATGTGAACGAACCTTATGTCCTAGGACATGGTTTTTTCGCTCAATTCTCTCAAAATGTGTATAAGGACGTGTTTGATCAAAGGTTTGCCTTTTATCATCCTAGGCATTTTCATTTGGCATTTTTGAGAAATCCTTTTTGCTTTTTTCAAAGGATCATTTAGTTAAATCTCCCGTCTGTGGGGAATTCTGATGCATGATGTGTTTACCAATGCGTGAATGAACAATTTGACGAATGTCATTTGAGATCTCTTGAAAAAAATGATTTCAAATTTCTCTTACGATTATTTGAAATTTGAACTTGGAATATCTTTTTAGTTCAAAACAATGTGTCTAAGATTCCGCATCTAGGACTTGATTGTTTTATAAAGCATTTGAAGACAATGGTTTCAAATTTACCTTGATCATGAAACCGAAATTTTTTATCCAAGAGGTTTTGGAATGGAATGGTTTTGAAAGCTCATTTTTTAGAATTGTTCGAAATATTTTTTCTTGAAAGATTTTTGAGGAAAAGGATACTTGTTCTAGGTTGGACAATTGATCCTACAGGAATACAAAGGCAATCATGTCAATGAATATCCTTTGAAAGATGACAACTCGGAACAACACAACTTTACCCTTGTATTTTCCTTCCATTGCTCGATGTTTTCCTATCAAGAGAAAGGAAATTGAGTCAATAAATGATATCAGAAGAGGTAAATTGGAACCGATACAGCTTTACCCTTCATTTGAGTCCATGTAAACGACTCTTTGAGCTTTCTTGATCGTTGACAACTTAGTTGATTGTACTAAAGCCATTTGCCCCAGTTGAACACTTTTGCGTTCAAAGAATCTGGTATGTTCAATGCTCTTCCTTATTTGATTTCCATTGTCTATTGTTTGAATCTTTTCTTTTATTCACCTTCATGTAAAGGAAAGATATGTCAATTTGGATTCTAAATAAATTTGAGCTTGAAAATGAAATGCTCCCTTTGATGATGACATCATCCTTTTGTCACGTCCATATTAGTCAACCGTCTTGACGCCTTATCTACAAGATAAACGGATGAACAAGTCAAATCAGATACGAGATATTCTCATTGGAACGAGTACTTTTACCTTTTTGAGACACTGCTCTTTGAGATCATTTTGATTAGGTAAATAGAAGCCAAATTTATGCATGATTGTTTGGAAATCATTTTTGAAAACAATTTCAAAAGTCATTTGAAAATCTAACCCTCAAATCCTTTGGTCCATTTTGATTTGAAAATCTAATCTTCAAAATTTGTTGGGGGGTTAACCACACATTCATGATATGCCCCAAAAATTGGTTTTGAAACCATGCCAGAAAATGTTTTAGGAACTTAGTCCTCATATCCTCGGACATCCTTGTTCCACAAATCTTTGAAACTAGGAAGCGTGCGGAAGTCCAATCCTCAAAGTATCATCATAGGACTGGTTTGGTGTACTTCCACATGTTATTAATAAAACGTGCATATGCTTTTATTGAATTGAAAGTGATAAGGCCGTATTACAACATATACTACCTTGGATCAACGGCTCAAGATCCAAGTGTTCACACACATGAATGAAAGAACAAAATAACAAAAATGCATAAAATGAGAACTAGTTAAGCATGTTGTACTCTACACCAAGGGAGAAGTGAGTGTGCTCCCATGTAGCTTAGCAACGTCAATCATGTTCACAGTTCCAGGATGACATGCTCCTTTCGTACTTCTGATGCGGCATTCCCAAAAGATAGAATCCCCTTATCAAGCAAATTTTGAATTTTGACCTTAAGAACCAAGCAATTATCAACATCATGTCCTTTTTCTCCCATATGATACACGCATGTCTTGGACATATCGAATCCAGTAAACTTTGGAAGCTTTTCTCTCGGAACTTCCTTAGCCACCAATCTCTTTTCCAAAAGCATAGGCAATAACTGAGAGAGTGGTTTTGGTAAGGGTGCAAACTGACGAAGCGGGCCATGCCTACGTGGCTTCTTATTGGAGTCATGACGCGATTGAATACGAACTACGTCCACTTTGTCAAGATGTCCTTGATTACATTCTCCAGTTCCAGAAGATAGTTCAATTTCAGATGCTTGTTCTTCATAAGGCCATTTTCCTTTACCCTTTGAATGAACACCAATCGTTTTCGGCATGGAAAGGGATGACAATTCTATAGTCATTTGATTTACACGATCCATAAGACGCATCATCATCTCACGCATCTCGTTTACTTGATTCTAAAGATCCTCAAGAGTGGGTGCAATTTTGGTCGGAAGCAATGGAGTTATGAATGCTTCAAAGTCTGCAAATGTGGCGATTATTTCATCCAGTCGATTTTCCACATTAGTTACTCAGACTTGAGTGTCTTTGTTCTCCATCTTTGCTTGATGACAGGTGCGTATAATTGAACGTGTCTCAGCCATATTTTAGTACCTTGTTCTTTAAAAAAACAGAAATCAAGTTAGTATACGGAAAATGAATTGAGATGAAAATATAAAACCCTTCAATTTTATATTTTCTTTGGATGAAATAGAGATAAGAAATATTCTCATGATCCCAATACCATGTGAATGATCTCTTATCAAAATTTCTTCACAAGAAATTATACAATTGAAGGGGTAACACGCGATGATTAATCAAGATGCCCCATCTATGTTCCATTGGAATCCTCGGAAAAGCACATAAAAGGGAAATTTCACTAATTACAACGAAATTCGTGAAATATAATCCCTATACATCAATCTAGAAACAAAAGGAGAATCCTATTACATCATTACTAACATGAGTAAAAAGGAAATCCTATACATCAAATCTATAAAACGAAAATTACATGAAAGGAGATTTCATCATGGAATATAGCCAAAATCCTAATGGATCTTCTTTAGGTGCGAGGCGAATTCGTTTGTTTTCTTGGTCAAACGTTCAACCTCGGCTAAAGCCTCATCCTTTTCCCTAAGAGCTCTTGTGGCTATAGCTTGCTGTTGAGTTGGCTTCTCGGGGACATTAGGGAGATCCACTTTAAGCTCGGGCTCGAGACGACGGTGTATGTAATCCGGCAATGCATGATGTATCTTCATTTCTCCTTCCAATTCTGACTCATCGGTAATGAGAATCGGCTCCGGGTGGCATTTGTACCACATATCAATGATAGACGTGATCATTTCTTTCAAATCCGCCATTTGGTCCTTTTGGATGACATCTTTGCGATAGTCAAAATGATATAACCCCAGCTTGAGAAATGGTGGAATCTTTTGAAGCACGCGATATTGACGGATCACCCTAAAAGGGTAATATGACGTAGACCCCGTTAGACCCAAAAGTAGGATTGGGTTGTCGGATCCGTTATTAAGGCGCACCTCGGGATTTCCAAGCCAACGAACATGCCATTGGATTTGATTTGGAACAAGGTTATTGGAAAAGTTAAATCAAGTTGAGAATGACCAATAGGGAAAGATTTCTTCCTTTTCTCGGAAAAGTGAGATAGGATGAATATCTTTGGACACATTTATGATTTTCAAGCTCAAACCGAAGTCTTTGAGGTGAGAGACCAACCAAATTTGGAGTAAACCTATTGGGGCTCTAAAGATACCATTTCTGTTTTGTTTGAACTTATTGAGTGATACGAAGGTCTCACCTAGGATCATATTGGAAAATCTTTTGAACATACACACTTGATTGACAATGTGAATTACCAAAGGGTCCATGGTCTTTTTGGTGAATGGAAAACCACAAAACCAAAGAATGCTAAGAGAAAGACTCGAGGAATTTGATTACCCGCTTCTTTTGGCAAGCTAGAAAAATGTCGTTCTAAGAATGTGAAAGGGAGTGCATTGGAATTTCCTCTAAGGACGCCTTTGATTTGGAGAATGTCAACTCCTAAGAATTGGCTCAAAAGAGTTATTGGATCTATATCTATCGGAGGACTAACTAGACCAAAAGACTCGACTCTTCCAATGGCAATATCGTACTCCTCAATTGTAAGGGTCAACTCATTTTGACCAAACACAAAAGTCGATGTCTTTGAGTTCCAAAAATGAGACAATGCCTTAATCATGGCGATACGAGGCTCGACGTATAAAAGTGCGGGAAGATATCCAATTCTCTTTTCCACGTAATCCTTGTGCTTTGGTTCAAAACTTTCCCACATGACCACGAGAGCTCTAGGTACGGGGATGATTCGAATCTCCGACATATCCATTTTGACTAACCCTAATTTGGGGCATCGAGATTAATCACCACGCATTATAGAAAGAAATATAACGTGGAATTGAAATGGCGTAATCGAAATTGCAAAACGATACAATCAACCTTACCACGAAGAAAAAAAATGGCAAGCACATCGGCACATCGCATGAGGACATGTGAGGTTTGACATCTAAGGGTAGGATTCTAAAGGTTTAAGGTCCTCATCTTAATTAGATAAGAAGAGTTTACCCACCGCTACTAACGTCGGTCGGTACACTTCTTACTAATCAAGATGAGCGGTATTGAAGAATGGATTACCACATGCATTCACATGTGGATTCCACTCTTAACACCTCCTAAAGGTGCCCTAAAGCGATCCAGGGTTTTAGACCGCGGGACGTGGGTGCATTGTGTCGTGCTAAAGCAAGTAAACATGCATTTAAATCTAAAGCAAACAACGCTTCAATATAATCTCATACATTCGACATTCACCCGAACGCCACCTACAAAACAAAGGGTTTGCATTCACTCCACCCCTTATGTCTCTCACCTACAAAACCATTTAACACATGGTTAGTGGACTAACCTCATTTTCCACGCGACTTCGACATGCAGTCGATGCTATAAAATGTAGACAAGTGAGATAACAACCAACAAGTTTATTACGGCTTTAATCCACTTAGGTTTGTAACCTAGTCCCCAGCGGAGTCGCCAAGCCTGTCGCGACCTACCCTCGAGGGCCGAACTCGATGGGGCGGGTTTAGAGGTAATTGTCGCGACCTACCCCTCAAGGGCCCACATCCACCTAGACTATAGTGAGGTGCCTAATGTAAGTCTGATTTGGACCTATTGGATACTCGGTCTCCTCATGCACCGTATGCATAGGGACCCCAAAATGATGAGGTGGCGGCATGATTAAGGTCGGGGTCAGGGATCTGAAATGGTTTGCACTACAGCAATGAGAATAAATCTCAATAAGCAAACAACATATACCCCACATATGCCAATGCATAACCAGACGAGTCCCAGCATGCAATCTAGTAATCGACAGAATAGAATTCTCATGCACACTTGTCGCGACCTACCCCTCGAGGGCCGAACTCGATGGGGCGGGTTTAGAGGTAATTGTTCATGAAACGGTCTATACGGTACATCATAAAAGATGGTTCATCCGTACAGTCCATTATTCATGAACGTGAATCTTCCCTAATTCATACCTGGCGCGACAGAGGATCAATTTTATCTTTTAAGGAGTCGCCACTAGCCTAGGTCGGAGGTCGGCTAGAATACCTAACCAATACGTGGGAATTTTGTATTGGTTTCTACGAAAACCAGAGATCAAAGGTTCGGGAACTAGCTTACGTTAATATTTCTATTAACGCCCTTTCGGTACCGCTAAACTTAACATGGTTGTTATCTAAGTTGTCATGCATTTGTTCTTTACCATTTTCATGCCAAAGTTTTAATCCATAATGTGATCATGCATCTTGTTTTTGTTGTTTTCATTTAAGATTCTAAACTAATCCTATCTTAGTCTAGAAAAGAAAGAAAGAAACGATTGTATTGAAAGGCATTACGTAAAGTAAACACTCAAAGTATTGAAAAGACGAGCTAATTCTAAGTGCGAGAAAGTAAAAAACCCGCAACTCATCGGGTGTTTATTACAACACGAATTGAAAACCCGAGACGTGATCGGGAATGAATGAATTGAATAAAAATTGAAACCGGATCGGACATCGGTCTATCGCCATCGTTAAATGAATACAAATTGAGACCGGATTGGACATCGGTCAATCGTCTTGGTCTTTCACCATTTCGGATTATCTTCCCATGGACCGTCTCTCGGGTGTCGGCGTTTACATTCACAACATACATTCGCGACAAACAATGTCCAAAAGAATAACCAAAGAAAAACAATGGTGCAAACAATTCACTAATCAAGCACGGGCCTCGGGGTCGGCCTTTGTTTTTCATGCATTTCGATTCACCACCCACCTAATCATCTAATATTATTTGATCAATGGTTAATGATAACGGGCTACCATTTGCATTCACAAAACGGCAACTCATATCAATTAACCCCTAAAGTCGGGTTCTAAGTGACCACAATGGACTACCCGCCAAACGTGCACCGGGCCTAACATTCATCTAACAAACACATGCATAGCAATGAAATAAGCACGTATTCAGGCCCATGGGCCTTATTTCGAAGCCAATCAAACAATGAGAAGTGGGCTTCATAAGGAGACCACTTATTCAGTTATTATCTAATTCGAATTGCTTCTGTTCAGATGTGATTAACCACCCTAATGACGTCCAAATGAAATAATTCAGGTGTCATTAGAAAGGTTATGACATGAGGATCGAAAGTCAAGAAGACCATTTTTTCTAAATCCTAGCTTATTTTCCCGAAAATATCAAATTTAATCTCAGTGACAGGCTGGACTCGGTTCTGTTAAGGATTTCAAAATAATGGCGGGACAAATAACAAACCTTATCAAAACCGCGTGAACATTTTTAGGCAGTTAGGATTCTTCGTGTGCAACAAATTTCATGTTTTGAGTTTTTTCTGAAAAGTCCTCCAAATTTTTATAAAATTCGGTTTTTGCAAAGGACTCAATTGCAAATCAAATTTTAACCTGAGAAGACCTTTTATGAAATTTTAAGCAAATTGATCCTCCAAAAATTGCTATTAGGCCCTCAAAATTTGTAGTCAACATAATGAGACCCCAATGAACAAATTTTTAATTTTTATTTTTTGCAAAAGAGGACTCTAACTTTATCAAATTCGGAAAAACATCTTTTGGATTCCAAAGGAATGAAAATCAGATCTGAACACAGATACTGATTAGATAATGACAATTCCTTTTGAAAATTCGACTGAATTCCGATTTTGATGAAATTAGTATCAATAGAAAGATCTCGATCTCAGTGTGAACTTTTCTGAAGAAAACTTTTCCATATTTTGAATACACGAATTTATGAAAATCGAAGAACACACGAAGGTCAATCAGAAACCAGTCTGTCACCCGAATCATGCATAAATGACGTTGCAGATCGTACCAGGATAACATGCTTGGAATTTTACGAAAATTTTATGATGAACAGATTAAGATGTTTGTTACAACTTTCATGAAGAATGTTTTGTCAAAAAATGATCATAGAAAATCATAAAAATCATCAAACAGCACAACGTCAATCAGGAAATCATCAGAACAGACTTGAACATCACAATCAAGATTCTGATCCTAACTTCCGAAAGTGTTTTGACATAGCACATTAAGTCCGATTGAGGCATACGATATATCAAATCGAAGCTTGAGACGTGTTTTACGATTCTCTAGTTCATCACTTTGTCAGATTTCGACATTAACGAGCTCAAATCAGCATCTCAAACATGCAGGTCTTCCTGGATACGAATTCACAGAACCACATTCAAGTGAACTTACCTTGTTTAACGATGCCCCGACGCACAATCGAGCGATCCGGCCTCCGTATTCAGATCAAGAACAGCACGGAGAAGTCTCGGAAAGCTCGGCCAACCTATGATAATAGATTGCACAAACTATAGTGAGAATCGATTCGTTTTCGCACTAGTGAACTAATAACAGAGAATCAAATCAAAAGGCACGATCCGGTGGCTGTTCAACGAGAAACCGGCCACCACAGCCACATGAAGACGCCGAGGAACACTGCTGGAGGTTCTGGATCGCCTGAGGGAACGCTGGTTGGCCGGTTCAACCGCTTGAACAGGCGGATCAAATCACCGGCAGCAACACCGGTGATGCTGCCGTGAAGGTAAACTCGCCGGAATGAGAAGCTCCGGCCACCAGCAGGCTGGGCTGGTGCTGCGACTGACCTCGTGACACCGTGGGGGACGACAGTGAGGTGGTGATCCATCGGAAAATGACCGGCGATGAGGAGGGATGGCCGGTGACTGGGAGAGAACGAGAGAGAGAGAGAGAGAGAGAGAGAGAGAGAGAGAGAGAGAGAG